CATGATAATTCCCCAAATTTAAGATTGAGTATATCTGTTAGGCGTTTAATCTCCAGTTCGTGTGAAGCGAGGTTGACGTCATTATGAAAGATCCATGACGCTCGGAGTGTATATAAAATTCTTGGAATTAAAAGGTAGTTCTTTAATAAAAAGAAAGCTTGGTGACCTGGGAGACGAGATAGTGTATCGCGCATGGGATATCTCTCGTAGAATATCGGCAAAGAACTTGATAAAGGACTCGTCTTTACCTACTGGAGATCCGAGATGTGTTAAAGCGTTCAATGGTGTATGATTGAACACAGTATCGTGGTTAAGGTCAATGATCCCAAGAGGACAATATTCGCTTAAATTTACAATAAATAAATAATTCAATGGAAAAAAATATTGGAAAAAGAAAATGCATCTGGGAATCCTATGAAATTAATCTTAGCTCTTTTTTTAAAATAAACAGTGCTCCTTACATGGGGATGTGTATTAAGAATAGAGGGAAATATCCAAGGAGATGACGAGTCTTGCTTATATCATCTCTCCAGGATACTGTTCCCAGGGTTTAGTTTTTTATTTCAGAGAATGTAGAAATATAAGGCTGGGGTTTAAAAAAGATTTCCACTTTAAGGCCATATCGTATTAAAAAAATTTTTTTAGCTAGGAGTTTTTCCCGGATTATTTAAATTTTGATTATTTTACGTCATCACCGGGATTATTAAAATTTTGTTATAATAATTTTGGTTGCATTTTGCAAAAAAAAAATAACTGTAACTATTTATATATTTTGGAGTGTAACTGCTAAGTGTATACTAGTTACTTTTTAAAATATTCATATATATTATTATAAATATATTCAAATAATAAATTATTATTTTAAAATGTTATAATAAAAATTTTAAATTGAACCTTTTAATTTAAAACATTTATTAAATATCTGATTCGGTAAACATTGATAAATGAAGCAGACAGATACGGAATCATAGCCGTAGCCTAGATTTTGCTAGGGGGAAAACACTATTATGTGGGTTTTTACATAAATTTTATTGGTAGGTCTAGAATAAACTTTTATAAAATAATTTTGGTTTTTCACTTTTAAAAAATTTTTGAATTATAGACGTAATTTAATTTTTTTTTTACTTATTTGGAGTGTAATATGTAGGAGGGAAATTTTATTAGCTTAAAATAATATTTACGAGATCAGACAAATTTTCAATTCTGACTCTGACTCGTTATTTAATGAGGATGACATTCAAATGATTCTGAATAATGAAATAGAAATTGTCTTATCTCTTTCTAAAAGTATTATTAAAGCAACAGACTTAGATATTAATATACATCCAAGCTTTAAAAAGTATTTTGGATTTTACAAAGAGAAGATTGGTAGTATTGGCAATAATAGCGTTAAGTGCTTCCTATGTAGTATTGTTAAACGGCTCAATTTAAGTCAATTTTAAAAAAAGCCGGATTAAGATTTAAGACAAAATAGTAGCCTGAAGATTTTGCTCATCGATGGTATAAAAGTTTTGGATCTCTATTTGTCAAATCTCGAGTCTTACATCATATTATTTTAGCTTAAATCTTATAATCGGGACGTTTTTAAAAGTCGACCTAAATCGTGCCGTTTAACAAAACTATCCCTATGCCTTCCAAGGTATATTTCAGCATCTGTCATCCACAGCCATCTATGGGAACTTATCTCTGCATAATTATTTTCACATATTATATCTTAAATAATTGTACTAAATTTTATTTAGATGTACATGTAACAAGATTTTTTTTAGCTAAATATTTTATAGAATTATCAAAATTAAACTTAATAAAAATTACTTTGATTACCTTTCCCAGGGAATGATGATGTTCTTGTCTTACATTATACTTAGTAGCAACGATGCCAACAAGATCTTTTTATATAAGTATAAGAAAGCTTATAACATTGCCATAAAAATGCCTACCTATATGGAACAAAATATCATCTGAAATAATTAAAAAGAAATTAAATTATTATTTCTTATCAAATACAATGTTGTCCTCACGCCTCGTGCTCCCGTAGAACGTTTTCTCACTCTAAGGAGGCATATTTTTGAAGAGACACAAGCGGGTCCTTAAGACAGAAATTTTTAAAATAGTATAATTTTAAAAAGGCAAATAAAAACTTTCTAAGTCCGTATGATATTCTGATATTTTATTTCGGTGTAAGTATATTTTATTCTCCGGATACAGCATAATTATATTTTTATATAAATAAATTTATATTTTCTTTTAAATACCATTGATTAATTATAAATCGTAATTTTTTATTATAAAATAAAAAAATGATGTGTTATATAAATGATTTATAAAGTAACTATTAACTAATAAGGTAACGATTTACTTTTCAAATATAACGGTAACTTGTAACTAGTTACATCTAAAATATGTAACTAGTAACTATAACTAATTAAGTTTCAAAAGTAACTTTTAACAACACTTGAAAATTGAATAAATTGATAATATGATATGAGCTAGTAATTTTCCAACTGTTGGTTCAGAGCCGGGCCTACATTATTTTTCTTTATGAACTTTTTTTTTTTTAAAAAAAAACTAGACATAAGATTTTTTTCCTAAATTTAAAATTTAAAAAATATATAAATTAAAAAATGGTAAATATAACATAAAAGCCGATATATATTTTTATCGATAAAATATGCTAGACGTGTATCTCTTTTGATAAAATGAGAAAAAAATAACAATAACTAAAGATAGTATATTTTATATTTTAATATTTGAAGATGGAAATGAATAGGATGAGACGTTCCTCAATAAAAAATCATTTTCTTGAACTCCTGAATGAACTTTATTTGATTAAAATATGGGCAGAGGATATTTTAGGAAAAACGGGGCGAATTGGTAATTTAAGAATCCCCCTTGTTGTCATATATATATATATTATATAGAATTTTACAAAACGACACCATTGAAAGGTCACCGTTTGGCATAAATGCTATTTATAAATAACAGGAATAGACAAGGATTAATTTTCAATTAATGTCTATATTAAATTTCTAGAAATATATACTATAGATTTATCTTTGAAACTTTTTATATAATAGAGCCAAAATTATTTAGAAAAATTAAATTTTAAAATTCGGGCTGGCCTTAAAATGGGTATGTATCAGCAGGTTTTAGATATAAATATAAATTTTCTCTTAAATTTAAAAAAAATAAAGATCAATTTAAATTTTGAATTCACGAAGATCACACATATAAAATTACTATAAATGACTTTCAATTTATTGATAAATCTTATAAATAAAATTATATCGGAACAAAAGTATGGGATTGACTAAGTTATTTGACTGAATTCGAGGTATGATGATTTAATAATATTACGAGAAGAGGGATTGTATTAACAAAGTTAGGGATTTTTTTAAATGGAAATCGGATAAGGGAATATAAAATTGTAGTTTTTACCTTTGTAATATATATATATACTAATCAGTGGAGAAAAAATTGTAATTAATAAAATAGCTCTCATTTTGAATGCTCAAGCTAATTAGCTTTCAGACTTATATTTTAGAGAATAGAAAGTTTCAACTTTAAATTTATTTTTCTTATTCTAATCTAAATGTATAGGCTGACGCCAGTGATTCTGTTTGTATAATCAATTAAAAATTAATAAGTATTATATTTTTTTTTGATTCATCGCATGTTTATTATTAAACAGATTGTAGGCAAATTAATTTTTTTTTTTCTTCAACTTTATTTGAAATTATTTTTTACATATAAAATTAAAGGATGTGAGTTGTCAAAATATTATTATATTTTAACATGTTCAAAACAAAGGTAATATTGTGATTAAACAAAAGAACAGAAGATTTAGTGAGCAGCTTACGCACGCCCATAAATCTTTAGAGCCCGTCATATCCAACCAAGAGAAGGGTTCAAAATATGGAGAATTTAGTAGCAAAAATTAAACCAGACTGTGATTTAATATTCGAATAGGATTTTCACGATTCGGAGGGAGCTTGGTATCTGCTAATTAAGAATACTCTTGTAAGCCTTAAGCAAAAAATTGATTTGACTGTTATAGTTGGGTAATTAGTAATATATTTTTAGCCATTTTATAGCCGGCTAAACAAAGTTTTTAGTCGAAAAATATCACTTTGATCTCGGAAATTTTCTTAAAAAGATAGCAGCTCAAATTTGGAAGAAACTAATATAAATTAAAACGCCATAATATTAATGGATTTTCTCCAGCAGGCGCCTGAAGATTGAACCGAATGAACCAATACTCAACTATATTGAGGTACTATTTTATATTAATTTATTTAACTATAAAATTATCAATAAATTTAAAGAATTTTTAAAAAATTTAATACTAATCACATGTCCGTCTCCCCTTTTATTTATATTTTAAAATAAATATTTGTAAATAAATAACTTAATAATTTTTATTTTTTGACTCATCTATTGTTTAGTAATAAATTTAAAAAAAGGGAGAGTGCTAAATTGAAATTGTTTTAATTAATACAAGATTTATTTCAAGATATGATATGTATATTTTTAATATTTATACATAATCAAAAATATATAAAAGGGACAAAAAAATTTATAAGGAATGAAAAAAATAAAAGAAGGAATGATCTTATTTGTGAATTAGAATAATAAATACTATTAATAATATCAAAGAAATATATAAAAGTTAATAAATAACAAAAACATAATTTTGCGAAATCATCATAATCTTTATCAGTATTGTATTGGTTATTTTATTTTTGTTGGTAATGGTTTATTAATTTCGAATGCGAATACAAATAATTAAAACATAAATAAATAAATAATTTTACATTAATAATATATAATATAATAAAACCAATAAAACTAAAATTATTTTTTTGCTTTTATTCGTGAAAAACTTTTAAATAATTAACGGTTATTTTTTTTTAGTTTTTTTGTGATTCTATATATTTTGATTAAAAAAAATTAATTAAAAAATTTAATTAATTATAAAAAATTTTGTCTATTGTGTTTTGTTTGTAAAAAAAGCTAAAAATTTGAAAAATATAGATAAAATATAAAATTAGTTTTATAGCAGAAGATTTTATTTAAAAAAGATAAAATTTTATTTTGTGTAAATGGTGATTATAAAAGATAAAGAAGTTGCATTACAAGAAGGAAAGGATGATTCGTATATAATATCTTCGCGTACCACTGCGAATTCAGAAGAAAGTCAAGGTAATTAAAATATTATATTGATTTTCGAACAATTTTATTTTTTATTAATATTTTAAATATGGAAAGAAATTCAAACAAAATATGAAATAATTAACTAAACTAGACTATTTTATTTAAAATTTAATAACAAGCGATTATCAAATAGATTTAATATCGAATAAGTATGATTTTTTAATAAAAATTTTTATGTACCCTTTTTAGTGTTTAATTCTGATAGGCACTTTATTTGTCCTTATTATTTAACAATTTCTGGGATAATGTGCATATTCTCCGGGAGGGGTTCCCAATTCCCTTCTTGGACTCATGCCTTACATATAATATACAAGTCAGTTAGCTTGAATTGTTAAAAAACTTTAATTAAATTTTGAACAATAAATTCATATTTATCAATCTTCATATTAATAGTTAGTCATATTTTTACAAGTCAAAATTTAAAAAGAAATTGATATACAATTTTTTATATATTTATTCGATGATTTATTTCATGAATGAAAGTAAATATTTCTTTGGAACTCAATTTTATGACTTCACGTAATTCATGCTTTTATTTGACAATATTCGATTTCAAATAAATTGAATAGAAACGATTAAATTTTTGCTAAAAATATGGCTATAAAATGTTTTTCTAATTTATGGCTAATAATGAATATGTGCTATTTACATTCGAATCAGCAGTGGCCCCTACAACGGAGGGGGGGGGGTCCGAAGCAACTGCTTCAATTTGTTTGGGGGTACTCTTTTTTTTTAAAAAAAATTTTTTATATATTTTTTTTAAAATTTTCTTTATTATTTAATTCTTTTACTGTTTTGCTACATCCATCGTTCAAGTGATTTCTGGTTTATAAATGTAATAATAAGACCCCCCCCCCCCAGATTACATTTAACAGGTGCTTTTCAATCATAGTTGAGGCACATATGATGTTTCGAAATCAGAAGCAATAGCTTTGATATATGTTGAAAATAATGAGACGCCAAAGCCTGTTGAAATACTGATTGACCTATATTGTACGGGAAATACCACAGGTCTCGCTATTAAGCATAATATAATATCCAAACTTGACTCGATGAATTTACCCCTAGAATTTCTAGTTGGGCAAAGTTATGATGGCGCCTCAAACATGAGTTAAATCTAAATAAATAAGGTACTATTACCGAGTGGTATTCTTGATGCGTAGAAATCGTTTTTTTTCAGATCATTACACTGACATTTTTTGAGTACCTCATATCTTTTTACACCATTAAAATAGATATAAATCTCATCTAGTATTCCTAGAACATTTCGAAATTCTTTAATTGATTGGCATAATTGAACTATGATTAAATTTAATCGATGACAATAACACAAGCTGCCTTTGGCGCCTCTGCTCTAATCAAGGCCTGCACACCATTGATTTTTTTTTATTTAGAAGCTGGCTATCGTCATATAAAGCTATTGTAAATTTTTTTCTACTTTATGATTCCTTGAGGGCAGCTTTAACAAATTTAAAGGATTCTGAAGATCCTGTCACTTCCACTATGGCTAGTGCTATAGTCTTTAGAATAAAAAAATTTGATTTTATCTTAACACTGAATAAAATATTGTTGATAACAAGTTTGGCTTGTACAAAATTGCAAACCATTTCGAAGGATATAGTGTTTACAATAAATCAAATTCAATTGGCAAAAGATTGCTTGATTAATTTGAGAAGTATAATATAAATTATTGTCTTAATTATTTTTTAATCTAATAGATAATAACACTGAATTTTTGGATGTTTTTTCAAAGGCAAAAGATTTTATGAAGGAGAGATATCTACCTTTTGATTTTGAAAGTTCTAGACTTCAAACATTACAATCCAAAAAGGAGAGGTATATATACTTTCATCATTAAATATAGAAATTTTTTTGCTTTAAAATAGGTGCGTTTTATGCTGCACTCGATTTAATTATTGCAGTTTAACGAAAGATTTAATGATGATTCGATGAAATTTTTACATCAAACATCATTTTTTACGCCAAATAATGTGGCAAAAAAATCAATTATTTAGGAAGATATCGAATATATCTGTGAATTTTACAATTTAAATTCAAATCAAATTTTCGAAGAAATTTTGAAGTTTAGAAATATTTATAAAATGGCCAAAATGGGGAATGTAATTATTACTCATGACCTAGAGGTTCAAGAATCAAAAGATTTGTCAGATTCTGAGAATTGTAAATTTATTTTATTAAAATATTTTTACCAATACATTATTTAGCTTCTGATGATGATGATAATTCAGGGACTTACGATTCAGATTGGATAAACTATTCATTTATTTTACCTTATCGTCTACTTTTAAATTTTTATGCTTTCCCTAATTTACCAATTTTATATAAATATTTATTAACCATTCCTACAACCTCATGTATTGCCGAAAGAGTCATGAGTAAAATTAAATTAATTAAAACAAGACTTCGTAGTGCCATGAAAGATTCATTTCTCAGTAATTTAACCATATTATCAATAGAAAAAAATTTATTTAAACAATTAAATATTGATGAAATTATAAAATATTTCGCTTTCTCTTCCCCTAATTTATCTAATATTAATTTAAAAAATAATATTTATAAAGTATATATTTTTTGCATTTTATTTATATTATATATTAAAAATTGATGGAATAAAAATTATTTTTGAAATTTATGGGTGTCATAAAATAATAATTATTTTTTCGAGGGGGGTACTTTTCAGGGGGGTATTCTGCTTCATTCGCTAAGAAAGTGTAGGGGCCACTGCGAATCAGCCCTAGCTTTATTTTGTAGTTTGCACTTGAACTAATATCTTTATTTGTCATTAAATGAATGCACATTAATTTCATTTAATCGACTTGAAACCACAAAATAGCTACAGCTGATTCCTATTTATAGACACTTTTAAATGCATTTAATGAAGAAATCGCCAATAAAATAGTATTATAAATCATTGTTTAAGGCTTAGAGAATTGGAAAAATTTGTCCATTTATTTTATTAGTTGTTAAATTTGGGTCTATTTTTTAAAACGGTCCGATTAAAATTTTAGCCAAAATAATATTATGTACTCGAGATTTGGAAAATAGCGGTCCAAACCTTTCTGCTATTTATGATCAAAATTCCCAATCTTACATAATATTACTTTAGATAAAATCTTAATCGATTCGTTTTAAAAAACAAGTCAACACTAATTATTTTGATAAAATAAATTATCATTTCTGAAAAATATTCCCAGGATATTTTTTTATACGCTTCGAATTTATCTGTCAGAGGAGAAAACTTAACGAAGAATTTGCTCATAATTTCTTCCATTACTGTTAATAAGTTGATTATCATTACTTTAATTCAAGTTTTTTTTTAATTATCATTTTATCTAAATGACATACAGTAGATGCCATACATGATATGCTTCGGCTAATTCATCTTATATTAAAATTGGTGGTTAATATAAGAGAAAAAGTCTTAAAGAACTAGGAAATTTGTAGGAACAATCTCTTAGACATACATATCTGTAATAAAATTTTTAGCTTTTATTTGAATATAGCACTTCATAGTTATTTATTTATCCACTTTTTTTAGCGGCAGTTATAGGCTGCTGGCAGAAATAATTCGTTAATTTATTTAGATTCTGTCATTGATTATGCGTTAAATTCTACAGAAATTAACATTGGAATTATCGCATTAGCCAAAAATATTAATTACTTCGATTTTTACTTTGATTTAATAGAATATTTTGAATATATTTAGTTCTCAATCAGTGTTAATTTTTTACTTTGAAAAAAAATAGCGGAAAATAAAATATCAGAAATTTGATAAAATATGAAAATTTCCAGCTAATATTATTACACTAGTTATAAAAATAAATTAAAAAATTTTAAAATTGACATCGTATAAAAATTTATGATTTTTGGTGATTTTAGGTTAAACATCTTTCGGGACAGTTTTTTCCGCGGAAGATAAATTCATTAAGCGGGACGATGACACGCTAATAGTCAATTTTTTGATTTAGCGCGATGTCAATAAACGCAATATTATTAAAACTTTTTTAATTCAAACTTTTGAAATTAAATTAAAATTCCAAAATGAACCATCCATATCTCTTTTTTTAAAATAGGACAACTTTTTCATTCTTTATAAATTTAATTAAATTGGGATTAACGATATTTGTCATAAAAAATATATCGTTGAGATTTTTTTTTTATAATTAATGAATTTGGAATATATTTTAAGATGTATGGAGATTTTTCATAACATTTAAAATGCGATCTATGTTCAACAAAGTATATTTTGGTATTAGACCCTGTTTTTAATTTGAAGCTAAGGATCTGGAATTTATACCTACATTAACTGCCATGTTCACCTTTTAAATCTTATATAATCTATCCTTGAAAATTCTAGTAGAAAAATATTCATAAAATTTATTTATTGTTATAATTTTTAAATTTTATTGCTTCTTATTTTCCTAAAAACTTTATTTTTGGGATTTTTTTTAGGGTGGAAAAATTTTTTTCCATATGGGAATGCGAATTCCATGTTAAATTTTTATTATTATATTTTAATATTTTCAAATTCCATTGTAATTCAGAGATAAAAAAGTTAAATTATGGTTTATTCTTCCAGATCTAAATCTAATTTTATTAGTTTCATGGTTTTTTCTTAGATTTTAAGTTATTATAATTATTACAATGTTTAATTTTAACATTTTTTTACGTTCAACTAATAATGAATAGCTTGAAGGCGCGGGCCCTGAACTTAGGCGTGACCCAGCGTGAGTGAGAATAAATTTTAAATTCCAAGGCGTGATTGGGCGTGACGGGCCTTCCCAAAATTTTCCGCGGGCCTGATCGGGCATAAATTTCCCGTGAATCACGGAAATTTAATTTTTAAAATTGTTTTTTATAAATATAAATTTGCAATTTTATAATTATAAGTTTGCAATTTTATAAAAATATTGTATATTTTCTTATTTAATTTAGTTCTTTTTTAAAAAAGAATAATTTATGAAAAC